GAACGCAAAAATGTTCGTTTTGCTATAAATGCTGAGAGGTGCTGTGCAACATTGGGATCGTTCAGCCATCGTGATGCGGTCCAGCGGTGAAGCGCTTCATGCTGATTAGCATTAGCCGTGGAGTCGCTTTGACAGTTTTCAACATTGACCAACATACTATAGGGAATACGTGTTCATGCACATGCGCATATTCTGGCCCCTTTTTAGAGATTCGAGATCCGCCGGGTGATACCTCCACGTTCGTCAGAGATCCTCTACCGCCTACGGAAAATCGCAGTATCTAAAGACAAGAGAAAAAGTCTCTTGGGACTGCTACCTTGTCATAGTCTGCAGTGAGGATCAAAGTGCAGTCGACATAAGTCATTTTTTTATAGTTCTGTCGTTGAATTCGGTCTTTTAGTGTTATTTCCTGAAAGTGCAATTGGCTGCAAATAATTGTGATGTTAGACCATTTCAAGACGTGCTACATATCGACACGAGACTAAGTGTGATATTTAAGCTTTAAGGGAAAATGTACGGGGAGATCTATGATAACAGGAATATGTCTAACATGTGCGTAGAATTACTGGGGTTGGGGGCGTATAAATATACCAACGACAAAAAATTAAGATATATCCCCCCTATCCCAATCCTGACCCCCAATTTTCAACTCTTACAAAAAACTTCTCGGACCAGATCAAATGATTAAAATGAAACGTCAAAAAAAGGAGATTGAGCGATTTTGATTATTTTCGTTTTTGGCCATTTTCTCCGCTGCCACTTGACTGACTTCAGAAAACTAGAAGCTCTTTCGCCCTTGGCACAGTAGTAATCTTGTTTGGATATTTGATCCAAATCTGAGTGATACTTTTGAAGTAATAGACAGGGCAAGCATTAGCGGAAATGCAGACAGACAGATCGACAGACAAAGCGACAGACCGACGAGAAAGGTTTTTCATTAAGTATATGTCATACTCGTACATCCAAACACCATAATATATTATTTAAAAAAAAATCTCGATTACCATACTACCTGGCTGGTATGCTATATAGCTATGAAGAAGCCGATATAATATTTTTTCGCTCTAGCTCGACTACAAAGGTTTATTCGTCTGTCTTTAATACCGCATCTACAGATCACTAATTTGTGATCAAGTTATTAATGGAGCCAAAAGCGGCCTTAGTGGAGAGCCACATTAGAGAGTATTTAGTGTAACAACTGTAACGAATGTATTGTGTCAGTATTTTTAGACTTCAAAAGGGCAGTTGAGACTATAGGTAAGGAAACATTGTTAATGAAATTGCAGGAGCAGTATTAAACATCTTACAAAATTATTTAGTAAATAGAAGTCAAAAACCTAAAGTTGGGAATATTATGCCAAGCGTTCAAAATGTATCACTAGAGGTGCCGCAGGGGAGTAAATTAGGGACGTTAATATTTATTATTTATACAAATGATATCTCTGACATTTTAGAACACTACAAAATTTAAATATTTGCGGACAATACATTGATATGTATGCAGCACACAAACATCTTGACACTGCTTTAGAACTGTTGAATAGTGATATTAAAAAATTATGAACTGGTTAAATGTTGATAAACTTAAATTAGACACTAATAAGACCAAAGGTATGTCAATAGGGAAACATTTACGTGACAATATAATTTGGTTTATGATTAATGATGAAGAAATAGTCGAAAATAGTCAAATCATTTAAATATCTGGGTATGTGGATAGTAAACCACACAATTTTAGTATGTATTCCAAAAGAAATGTGTATATTCCAAATTTTTAATATTGTTCAACCATCTTCTTTACAGCAAATGAAAACATAATTTCAAAATTACAGAGTGAACGTGGTAATTTGACAGTACTGATTTGACAGGTTACGTATCTTTTTTATTTTGATGTGAAGCCAACCCCAAGACTTCAAAGGCTTGTGAAAATTTTTCTTGGAAAAGTTTTTATAATATTGGTGTTATGATTACTCCAAACCATGCAAAAAATGAATACGTCTTGAATGATGGAGCCACAGAACGAAAAGTGATCACAAAACCAGTAGAACTCAAATAAAAGGATTCCTTGCAACATTGCATAAATGACAAAGATCAATACAATGCAACTCATTCAAAAAACCCTATTTCCTGCATTTATTTTTATCTCCGATATAAAATTGATATTTTTACTATATTTTAACCAATACGTTTTGATAACATTATTATTTTTATATTTATATATTTCGCTGTATAGCGCTGTATAAAAAAAAATTCTCCATAACGCTTCTTATTTAGATGAATGGGAACGAAGGATTTTCACGCAACTACGCAAAATCTAATTAACGAAGATCACAACAAATGAGCAGAACAAGAGGTATTGTATTAATTGCATGTCTGAAATCTGAAAGGGAACTTCAACAGGCATATGTAAAGTCTCAGTGGAGAGTTCTGGGACCTGAGTCGCGGAAGCAAGCAGAAGCAGTCGACAACTTACTCTTATACTAAGTGACATATAAATCCGAACACCCAGTTTAAATGGTTTTATTTTAATAAAAGTTGGTGAATGTATTTATCTTACTGTAAATAACAAGTGAAAAACTTTTCAGCCTTATCAGTTGGACATTCCGGTTTTTATACTGCTTTTTTTTTAATTCACTAACGCTCTAAAAATGAATATTTCAGCCGCAGTAAAGAATCAACGTTGGCGGATTTTGGTTCTTGACATACTTTACGATCGGTTACGATGCCTAGAGTACGGAGACCTGTACGATTTCGTCAACTTAGTGAGTTTGGTAGGGGCCGTACAGTGGGACTTCGGAAGCTGGACTTTCTTTTCGGGCAATTGCAGTTAGAGTGCAAAGAAGTGTAGACACTGTGGTTAGGTGTTGTCAGGCATGGCTTCGAGAAGGCCGTACGCAAAGAGCAAGGGGCACTGGACGCCGCCGTAGAACAACAGACCGTGAAGATCGCCGCCTAAGATTATTGGCCTTAAGGGACCGTTTCTCCACTACCAGGTCCATTGCAAATGAATGGTTTGCAGAACACGGAAGACCTATTGGCATGCGAAGTGTTTACCGACGAATGAGAAGTTCTGGCTTGTTTTCATACCGGCCACACTGGGTCCTCCCTTTAACTCGAGAAAACCGACGTAACCACCTTGAGTGGTGCAGACAATGGTCACTCTGGGATCAGGAATGGAACAGTATTGTCTTTAGTGACGAGTCTCGATTTTATTTAGGCATGCACGATGGTCGTGCCAGGGTTAGAAGGCAACGTGGTGAAAGGAGGAATCCACAGTTTTTTGTTGAAAGACATTTCACAGTGTTGGAGTTATGGTTTGGGGTGCTATAGCTTATGGTTCTAGGTCACCTTTAATCTTCATCAGAGGTAACATGAACGCGTAGCGTTATATCCACGAAGTTCTAGAACCCCATCTTTTACCCTATCTTGACACCCTGGCAGATCCAACTTACCAACAAGATAATGCCCGACCACATGTTGCAAGAGTCACAGTAGACTTCTTTCAACATAATGATGTCACATTGTTACCATGGCCACCAAGATCTCCCGACTTATCCCCAATTGAGCACGTGTGGGATATGATGGGTAGGAGATTGCTCAATTTGCAACGTCCTCCTCAGACTCTAGAAGCACTTCGAGAGGAGTTGGTGGTTGCCTGGAATGAGATACCACAGGAGGACATTGACCACCTGATCAGAAGCATGCCTAGGCGCGTTGGAAAATGCGTAGCATATCAGGGTGCATCCACACATTATTAAAGGTCAAAGGGCTTTAAAGCAGTGCAATCATTTTGAAATTTTTATCATTTACTTATTATGCTTCATTAATTACTTATACAAAATTTTATTAAAATAAAACCATTTAAACTGGGTGTTCGGATTTATATGTCACTTAGTATATTTGTAGATGATTTGAGCAACGATAAATTTTGCCGACTTTCAATAGAAAATGTTTATATTAAATGTAACATTGAAGTTAAATAAATAGGAATCAAGCCTCAATAAAATATTATTTCTAACTGACCACAATGCTTCCCTCATTTAAGCATCCAAGATATGACTTCTGCTCACGTAAAGAGACAATGGAAGTATGGATTTGTTGAATCCGAGGAAAGTACCGTCGAGAGTAGCGAGAGAATTATTGAATAACTGTATTGAAATGTTATTTTTAACAGAATATTGGCTCTGAGCCAAACAAGACGGTGAAGAGGGATCTACTATTGAGAGCTGCCTCTCAAGTAAGCTCATACCTGTTATACTATTAGTTTAAGAGACCTTAGCCCTTCTCTTGACATTAGCATTGGACAAGTAAACAACTAGATAGAATTGAGAGTATAATTTGTAGATCTATTTATTGCAACAGATCGATAAGGCCAAACATCACAGTCTCTTGATATGAAGAAAGTGAGAAGAAATGATACAACTGTTCTGAATGAATGAGGACATGTAAGAAAAATTATAGAATTGGTCTATATGAATGGTGATATATGAATCGAGAAGCCTTTCGTATATAATAGTAGCATTGATATATATATATATATAAAAATTCTGACAGAAAGCAGATGGAAGGATGTGAGATACAAAATGTAAAATACTCTAAGGAACACGCAACTATAGGCGTGTATGTTAGCTATAGAATAATTGTAAACAGGTATGAAGCCTAAAGAAGAACAAATATACACAGGACAATTCTCAAAAGCCGCATACCTGTGTTTCTGCTGTTTTTTTACTCGCTCTTTCAAAATCTTTTTAGCTCGTGAGCACCGTAATGAAATTGGACTGTTTCGTGTTCTAATGACGGCAAGGCTAACTTTTGTATGCGCTTCATTCTAATTAAAAACTAAAAATCGCTATTTTATTACCACTTTTCTTTTTCGAAGCCTGGTATCTCTGCAACGCATACTTTAGTAACTTGGCACAATTAATTCAGTAATAACTAATATCTGTTCACAAAATTTACACATAAGGGCTGATTGGATAGTCAAGAAAAATTCCAAATTTGTTATCAGTCAACACGTTTTATTGCGAAATAACTTAAAAAATATATAACAACTGACAAATACATAACGGTAGGTAGCAAGGGTAGCTTGGCTAGGTCCAGTCTAGGTACACATTGAGCAAAAATCGACTATCTAATATTGATCACTTAACCTTCGATTCCTTGAGATCCGATGCCTCCGTGGTGGGAGTGACCTTCGTACCTGGAAGACAATTTTTTGTCAATTATAATTATTGTGGGCACCATCTTCATCGTTAGATAGATAGATGTCTACATTACTATCTGTGCTCTTTTTAATGGAATATGTAGTCCCAATGTTAAATTGTATTGAATTTATGGCATCATATTTAATGTTAGTAGTCCATCGAGCATGTATACATTTTATACTTATAATTCTTATGTGTAGTCGCGTAATGTTTCATGAAATTATTATGACAGGTATAATGGCCAATCCTCCTGCTATCTGTCTGTATGCAAATGTAAGTGAAATACGGAAGGCATTGTAACATATCTTAATGTGATTTTTGATCTGAATGTACAATGAATAAATGATGCTACTATTGCTTTCTTTGAATCAGTAGAGTAACTTCATACCATTGATCTCACACCAAAGTCATAATTTAAAGAGGATATTTGTGGATAACTATGATCTGGAGCGTCTAAGTGCTATAAAGCTTTGTAGAACATGTCTATTATCGAATGTACTTACCTGACTTTGTAGTCAGCACCATGTTTGCCAGCGACGTACTCTACAATACGCTTCCTGCCATCAGGCTGCAGCAACTCGTATTTTCCCTTAACGTCGTGGTGCTTCCTCTCTTCATGTTGGCTGTGGTAGTCGTGGTGGTGGTCATCATGTACTGCGTAGTCATAGTGGTAGTGGGGGGGAGCCTAGAAACAAAGGAGCAACATCGAAGCTGCGTGTGACTTGATGATGTTGCATTTCATACTGAGAAGGAGAGAAATGTTGTTTCTATTTGGATCAACTTGTCCGTCTTTCATGTCTCTAAGGCAAGCCGTCTCAAATGTTGATTCCTCTTTAGAGCCCTGATATTGTCCTGCACAATCCTCAACAAAAGCTGGGCGTTTAACGTAGCTAACCTGAAGTAAGATTGTGTATTTTCATTATTGAGACAAATATAGAGTCTCCAATCTCAGTTATTGCTTTGAGAATGTTCAATTTGGGAATACACATTTCTCTGATCCTATGATGTTCAACTCAGTGGATTCTGTTTCGTGGTAGCCATAGAAGACCAAGACTTTCATGTGAGAAGATCATATATGAGTCCAAGCAATAATAGAACCGGCATTTTAAACAGCTATCGATGATTTTACACGGTGAGCAACAGAGTATAAGATATGGAACTGCGAGGGATTTAATGCCACCAAACCTGGTGTGGGGCTACTTCACTCACTCAAATAGCTACGTGGAGCCAGAAACAAGGTGATAACCGGCGCATGAAGGTCACAAGTGGAATTAGAATGAGGATAAGATGGCCTATAAGACACAGTCAATTGCCTGATAGGTCTAGGCTCCCAAAGACCAAGGCGTCAGATGCTTGGGATCTCCAATGCAAAAGTGGAATGCCACATACAAAGGACTGTTGAGGCTACAAAACTGTTCTGATGATCAAAACTGGAATCAATGGTCTTTACATCAGAAAAGGCTTAACTCTCAAGCTTCTGCTCTAATTTGGTGTTCTTTTAATCAAAAAGAACCGAATAATTGGTATCTTCGTGTATGGTATCTATCCATGTCTTTGTGAGTTCACATGATAGTCAATTATCTTTTCCTAGAGAGAATATCGACTGTTAGTAGTACTGTTGAGGTCTTAGAATTTTCGTGCATTTTCAAAGGTATATCTAAGAATAGAATAAAATAAACGTTGTTCATACTTGACTCAATGACTGATGGGGGTATTGACAGCAATTCTGATTTGTTTTAGTTAAACTCAGATTGTTTGTAGAACTAATATATTTTGTATACTCGAAATACATTGTGAACTACCATTTGTTTATATTACCTAAATCCGTGTTTACTACATGCATAATCCTGAATAACTTTTATTTGTTTTGACTATCGTACAATTGAATGATATAGCTCGTATACAGATGTCTGAAATTCTGAAGATTTTCCAAGAGAATTTTGTAGCAGCAATTTAAGAAATAGGAAATTGAGAGCCAAGGTATGACCAATTTTGATTTTGATTGCTGCCGTTCACTTCTAATAATTGTTGTGATTGTGTCAAGAATTGAGCACTTATTATTGTCACCAGTCACAAAATTTAGTCGAATAACGTTAACCTCGGTTATATCTGGATTGTCTGCTATTCAAGCCAATTTTTTTCAGCACAGATTATTTTTAAGCTTAAATAAAATCGATCTTATTGTCTTGATATCTTATACACACGTGGCTTAATATTTGACATGACAATATTCATCACTGTTGACGTATTTCCAGTCCAAGGACTGTGCACCAAACATATTAAGTATGTAAGCTAGGAAAAAATGAAGTTATTTTAATGCAAAGCATGTGAAAATTTTTAAATATTGATGATCAAGTATTTTGGTCAATTGGAGATGCCATTATGGCCTTTCTTCCTACATGGGTCAAATGATGAAATACCATGAGTCGTTTAAGAAGTATCAAGCTAGTGATCTGTTTCGTGATTCGTTGGGACATTCTCATATTGATTTTTTTGTGTATTACAATAACTTACCCTGTAGTCATGGTATTCTTCTAGATGGTGATGATGATGGTGATGATCATCGAATTGACAGTATACTGACGTTACTGCTACGACTAGAAGGGTTACGAACTATGGAAAAGAAATCTCTATTACTTTTAGTTTACATCATAACAAAAAAGTATATATTTGGTAGGAACATCCAAAGGTTAAGACAATCAAAGTTTCTAACTTATAGAATACTCTCTGAATTTTGACTTGCTTAGATTTGCTACTAGACTAGATAGAATAAAATTATTGATAAAGGCGATATCGTTGGAAAAATTATTGTAAGAATGTTATTTTATGAGAATGTAATTGAAAATGAATTTTTATGTGATATGTGATCCCCTAAAATTTTGTAGAATTGATCTGCTTGGCTCAGCTTGAAGAACGTTCCTTTAATATAGTTCCATGGATGTTTAGCGTTACGGAAAAGTGTAGTAACAAAACATATTTCTAAGATGCTGTAGGATGATTTCAGATATAAGACTTGAAAAGCGTTAGTGGTTTTTTGAATTTTGTGTTGCATAGAAGATAATGCTGGATACTTACTACTCCACCACAGTACATCTTTATGTATTTGTAGTTGCTATGTGCCTGTGAGTGCAGCTGATAGTTGACTGACTATCAAAATCCAATCCAGCGTATTTATACTAGTCGGTGGTTAGATTTTCGTGAAAGGGGTCATTTTTCTGAAACTTGTGTTCGCAAAACTATATTTGTCTAATTACTTATTCATTATGATAATTGAACTGGACTTACCGTGTTACACAAATTAAAATATGTAAACACTTTCCATTATAATTCTGGTTGTCTAAAATCGGTGTATGCGTGCGTGCCGAGAAAGTTGTCAACTGGGTCAGTGCATTTTTGAGAAAAATTTGCTTTATGCCAATATTGATATTTTGATTCGTCTTGTCCATATTGGACATTAATACAAACTACATATGTAAATCGGGGAAGAGCTGCTGAAGTTGTAAAGCCTATTCAAGGTATGTTGAAAATGATGGTTGGTAGTTTAAACTTTGAAAATTTGTCAGTGAAAATGTTTTCCTTTCGCCTGCGGTTATTATGTGCACTGGGGTAATTCGGGACGCTGTATTTTGAATATTTCCTCCAAAAGCTCTAACTCAGTTTTTCTCATGGTAGGCGATAACGACTTTTTGTGGGCGCTAGACACCCAAGGAGGTTTCGTAAAGAGCCTAGGGGAATTGGGGGGCGATGAATTTGGAGAAGGGTAATGGCGATGGCTAATCATAAGACACACTAGATATATTTAATTGAAGGTAATACTCCATTTAGTGTAGGACAGTAAAACTTTTAGAGCCGTATGTTGATATCGTGGAAAAATTTAAACCTGATTTCAAAAGGTTGCTTAAAGCCCAAGTTGTTCAATGCAAAAATTCGTATTCATTACACGGCCCCACAAAAAGAGGTCGAGACAGACCATGATATTCCTATGCATTTCCGACGGTGGATCCGAAGCCGGGACAAAATAAGTACTTGGACGTCTAGAATTCGCCTGTAGGCCCAAAAAGAAATGAGAGGAGAGGAGAGGTTGAAATTGGCTTTCAGATGCCAGGTGCTGAAGCATGGTATTTTCATGTATTTTTCGACAATAAATCAGAATTGTGACTCTTAGGCTTTACCCTGTACCCAAAAACTATCACTAAGAGGGGTGTAAATTGAGTTTCCGGTGCCAGATGCTGGAGCATGTATTCCCATGTACTTTTACGATGTCGAATCCGAATTTGGCCAACAAAATTTTTACACACCTGGAATTCCGAGATAGTTCGGACAACCAGGGATACCCGCGCCGTTGATTTTAAATGCAAAGTACGATATCCGGTCTACGCTATACAGTTTTCCGAAACATTCAGCCCATCCAGTATTGTTGGGAGTGACTTGCTCTAACGGAGTAGCAGACAGGCAAGGGTCAGGGTAAAATGACCAGAATACTCGTCCAGGGTCTCTCCACGTTTGTCAAATGAGACATAAAATAGGCATGGTATGTATATCTTCCGGAATGAGTTAAAAAAATTTGATTTCTGATATACATATTTCACATACGTCTGACCCAACCCTAGTCTTGTCAAGACCATCGGTCTCTAGGGATCAGCAGAAAAAAATTGCATCAGACTGCCGAAATGTTCGTGCAGTAATACATCGATTTAGTATCCATTACTTGAAACTCAATTTCCAGTCGTCCATACAGGTAGTTTTGACGCCAAAGGTAAATTCGAGGGAGGATAATACATCCGAAATGAATTTTCCCTCCCCTTTTTAGTGGCAGTTTTTGGTCGCGAGGACAAACTCTAGATGTGTGGGAAGTTTTACATAGTAGTATCATAGTCTTGTTATTATTCCCATCTTGGAATCCGCACTATTTATTGTTGGCTAGCTATCTTCGATATTTTCTAACGATCCTCCCCCGTTACCTCACCGCTAACAAACGAAAACATTCCAAGCAATATTATTTCTGCCTTTATTTCCAGAACCAGAAGGGGGACAACTTTTTAACCAAAAACTACTTCACCCTCTGAACCCCAGGATCATCCACTGAAACATTTTGAATGACAAGGGGTATCGAGAAATAACTTTTTTAAATCGATCGATTCGTTTTCAAGAAAATAAGAATCTTTATTTATCTTAATTTGTTTAGATAGAAAACAAAAACATACGAAAATATCACTTTTTATTTCAATAAGTGTTCAAAATGTTGCCCGTTATTGGCCGAACAATGATATAGGCGATGTTCAAATTCCTGACGGACATTTCCAAAATCATGGCAGCTTTTGATGATGCGTTGACGAAGTTCATCCAAAGCTTCAGGCTGGGGAGCAAACACAATAGATTTCAAATGGCTCCATAGAAAAAAGTCTAATAGCGACAGTTCAGGAGATCTAGCATGCATATGCCCTCTTCACCCTATCCATTTATCTGGAAACTCGTCATCTAGCCATTTCCGAACCGGAAGAACATAGTGAGGAGGAGCACCGTCTTGTTGGAAATATATTTCAGCCTCATCAAGTATAGCTTTTTTATCCTCTTCGATTTGGTTTTCAATGGTTTCAGTGATAAGCGGATTAATGGTAGTTCCCACCATATCGAAATACATGTATCCATTCAAATTGCCATTAATAAACAATGTCCCAATCACTTTGCTTCCTAAAATGCCTGCCCATGCATTCATTTTTTGAGGGCACTGGATATGCCCTTCTACAAAAGCATGAGGATTTTCATTGGTCCAATACCTGCAGTTATGCCTATTAACAAATCCATTCAGATTTTTCTTTTAATCAATGGCTTTCGATAAATCCGTGGTGGGACGTTTTGAAATGAACACCCTGTATATAACTTAATCATCATCTCCAAATGATTGGAAGTTCAATCTAGACATGCGTTAACCAAGAGCAAGAGTCCCACGGACCACTCCGAGAGAGGATGACCGAATGAGGATATCTATCTCCAGCATTTTTTAACTATTTTCCAATAGTCACGCATCCCTGCTATCCCTTCTTCCCTACTAATATTATAAACTAGAAACTGTGGATGATTGTGACTCAATCACACTAAAATGGCTGAATAGATCTGGATGAAATTTTGTGCATATACCTATTATAGTCTGGAATAGCACTCAGGCTACCTTTTATCACAGGATTAACATCAAAATGTCTGTTTCATAAGCTACGGCAAAAGGGCTTAACGGAATTTGACATGTCTGGCGCAAAAGTGCTTAGTCTCTGATCCGACCTAAATGTGTGAGGAGACTTGCATCTTAGCGTGATCGTCTAATCGATTTGGGTTTGTTTGGTGTTTACTTCAAGTATAATACATTGATTAAGTAGTTATTTGGTTGTTTGCCACTTTAATGCTGCTAGCCGGGTAAGGTACATTTATCCGTTATCTAGCAAACTCTAAGGCTCTGTGGTCCGGTATCCTTTTCTCTATATATAAATTGTCTATCCAGTCTATCAGCATCACTTCAGAGTCAGAATACAAAGAGACATTTACTACATGACATCCCAGGAATGTTATAGGCATGGTTTTATCAGCGAACTCATCGTCAATTTTGCAACCAACTGTCATAACAAGTATCAAAATCTCCACCACCAGGATGAAGCCGGCAACAGCGCGGCTAGTCATCTTCCCACGCAACCTGTTACCGTCAAGCGATACAGACGTTTTGTTTTGCACCAGCTGTTATCCGGGACTTCGTACGCTTAAACCGGTTACTGACACAAAACATCGTTTTTAAGTACTGCTATGGAATTTGGTTACTTTACTTACTGGTAGCATGGCCTACACGTACCGCGGGGCATAGAGCTGTACATAGATATTTTGAAAAAAAATATGTTTGTTCCAGCCGAAACCTCAGAAACCAGAGGACCTCAAATCCGACGAAGAGTTCGTAACAGCCTCCGAGAGTACCCTTCAGCACTCGAGGTCCTCTTCGTACAACACTGCGTCAGAGTGCGAGCAACACCACGCTCCTTGGTGGGAGCATGGGAAGGAGTGCCCGCCTCATCTGGCCAAGCAAAAGATGGTACTTGGTGTTGGTCTGCCAGACCTTCCTCCTCCAGAGGAGGTACTCAAACCTTCACCGGAGCCACCACCGGGCAAGATCGCGCGGGAGGTTGTTGAGACCACACACATAAAGGTGAGATTACGTTTAACTGATCTACTGTTACAATAGGTACTGAGTAAGTGTCATTTAAGGACCCAGACACTGGGGTGTGAATCGTTCTACGACGTGTAATCAAGAAAGTGTACAGATATGTATTTCTCGTGGTCCCAATTCGAAAGGGTGTTCAATAAGATGGAGCTATACTTATGCCATATAGCAAAGAAAACTTTGGAACTGTCACATACACGTTTTCCTAGTGCCCGCGTTTTTTTTTCGCAATGTTGGGATCTTTGACATAACAAAGTAGCTGTTCGCGTTGTCGCGTTGTCTGATAACCATCGAGGGGGGGGGTTGCCATAGAATAACTACTTAAGCATTGCGTTTTGGCTGCTACATGAGTGGCGATTAACTTTTCAGTCCGTATGTCACACTTATCATACTTGTATGTAATAGTACGCAAAGAATAACCGCGCATTCGAGTTTGTTTTGTCAACGAAAGAAGGTTAGATGTTCTGGACATTTTTCTTGCAGTAAATAGGTAAATAGGTTACACGCAGGTCAGACTTCATGAATCAAACCTAACCCGATGGGGCACATATACCAGAAGAAGCGACAGCAGTATTGCTGTAAGAATCATCCCGAAACATGACGGCTGGTGTACCAGTGGTGCTTTGACAGGGTTGCCATATTGGAGCAGTTACCTCCAAATTGGGCGGATTTTTATTCGAGATTTTTTTGAGGATGTTTCGCGGATAGGAAGCATCCTCCCGACTAACACCGCTTTCCATAAATTAACTATGATTTGGGGGATTCTTTTTGAATAGTAGCAATTCTGAAGAATTCTTGTGCTTGTTCTGGGGAAATTCTGCTCGGCCCATTCGGCAAAACTCAATTATATTTGCATATTTCTTGTAAATCCTTGGTGTAAATAGTCGGAAATATTTTGGAAATTGTTACTGCTATTTAGCTATTTGTGGTGAACTGTTGGAGGCCTCCCTTATGCGGCGCCAAATAATTTAACGAGGGGGAACAGTAGCATGTTCATAGTTGGAAATTCCTGCTGCTCTCCAAAATGCTGATGAAAAACTTGTCCACAGACATAAGGTATTTATAGATTGAGGCATTGATGATGGGGTTCCTTGATAGAAGAATAACAAAACTATGCAGTAATTTGTTCCAGGTGGAACTAAGCGTGTAGAACCACCCGCGAAAAATATGACTCATAACTATGAAAATAGAAATTATTCATAAAGCCTGTAAGTTTATGCCTAGATAATTAGTCTTTAGGGTCCTACGCGAGATATTGCACGATTTAGCTTAGTCTTCCTCTCTATTCGTCATTGTCTGTCAGAGCGTTGCGTGGGACCTTTGTACTTGACTGAAGTATTGTAAGTCAATAGGTTTGTTAGGTCTGGTTGCCTAGATACCAGACAAAGTCACGGACTTAATTTAGTATCAAACTGCGGTATCGCCACAAGTTGATAGTAGTTTGAGATTAAAATTTCTTTTAACCTCAGGTACCTTCCGCATGTGCAGTAGCTGGTATACTCCGAAGTTATGCGACCGTTTTTTCTGATTTTGCCGGCTCTTCTGGTATACGAGTATACCTCTTTCTCATTCACCCGAACCCCATCTATTGTCAACTGAATCAGTCACAGAACGCTGTTCATGCGTATAACAATAAAACGCTGCAGATCAATGATATCAAGATGACATGAAAACATCTCATGACAAAAATGATGTCAAATGTCATAAATAGGATAAGAATTTGATTGTGACATAAGCGTTTTAATCTTAGTTTCTCAGTGACAGATTCCATCTCCATCTGGAGTTATTAGAAACGGATGAAACTTAATGCACTAGGTAAATTCGGTATACTAAATTCGCTGACAGCTAAAGCATCTCTGAGTGCTATTTGAGACAAATGAGATTTTTAACTCTCATCGACTTCATCCAAGAAGTGTCGTTAGATTATTGACCTAAAGTCAAAGCTTGAGTTCAATGACCTTTAGTGTCACCAAAAGCCCCTGACGGTTTGAGATATCACAAGCCTATAATCGGAACCCTACACCGTGCACAGCCCTAAAGCATTGGAGCTCTGTTTTAGGATCAAATCGGTCTTCAGAGTATCCGAAACTCGATTCCAAACGGAAAGTTACAATAGATTGTCAGGCTGATTAAAATAATGACAGTGTTTCTAGAACTGAGAAAAAATCATACAAGCCTAGGTCCAAAAATGCTCCGAGACACAACATGTTGAAAATTCCTATGCTAACTTCAGTACATTTCCAAAGTAAATGGAAATTAGGTTTTCAATGAACTATACCTGAAAGATGAAATAAACTTTCCTCAAAAGGAATACGCTGACAAGTTTTTTAAGGGAGACCACCTGTAAAAACGTAATCAGATTATCTAAAAGTGCAATAAATGCTTCAGAAAAAAATGTCTGTGTATTGCTTATGCTGTTGGTACTGCGTATATAAAAGGGAGTGGGTCGTTTTCCGGGGTAGGAGAAGGTACACCGTAATTTTTTGATCTTAGTTTATTAATACACTTCCAACCCCGATAATACTACGAAATATTTCATACACTACAGATTTCGCCGGACATTTGCGGCAAATCTACGACAAATGATTTGTTATAAAAACAAAAAATTATTATCAGCACATTGATCGCCTATCGGTCGCATATGCGGTGCATCACGGAGTGATTTATATTTTTATATACAGGGTAACTTTGAAGTTGAGTCATTAATTTTCAGATAATGATTGTAGAAGGAAGATAAACCAAAATATGTGTGTAAAAATAAAAAAAAATAAAAAAAAAATGTTACCTTGTTTAATAAAGTATCCTCCCGACAAGTATTTCAGTGCGGACCTGTATTTGATCGTGCAGTCTTGGAGCACCGGCATGCTCTCACCTGTGAGGTCTTAAGTCACCTGATTCACGAGCCCTTTGTACTACATTAACAAAGGCACGAGGGGTGGGTTGCACTCGATTGGGAAACCGATTCGCATAAATCCGTGATGCATCCGGCAACATTTTGTAAAGACTGCCCCCCCGTAAATAAGAATTATGTCCACAGGTTCAGCATTTTCGTAAACATGTGCCATTTTTCATTTCGTTTGAGTCACGCAACAAACATCACTATTCACCCACGCGTTACCGACTGACGAAAAACAACGTGATAAACGTTTCAAATTCTTTCGCTTTTTTGTTTCCGATGCGATGAACCGATATCCGTTGTTGCCAAACACATAATATTATTATTGAGACAGGGCGGTACTCAAACTTCTAAAGGGCTATAACTTTGTTACTTTAATTTTACCAGAAAAATGTTAAAGGAAAAAAACATTTCTTTTGATCAGATCTACTCACTGTTAAAATAAATGACTCAACTTCGAAGTTACCCTGTATATAAGGAAATATGCAACAGCTCCTGATCTTTCTGTGATGTGGCTTAATTACACATAACGCGGACGCGGTAGTGATTTCCCGTAATGCTTCTCTAAAGTTTTTGATAACGCAGAAAATGTTAATTTATAACTTTGAACATAACCTCTCTTCAGAAAGGACAACACAATATATAATTCATGGGCAGCATATTCAGAAATAATTCTCTCATATAGCAAGTATCAATGCAGACCAATACAAACATCCATCTCGATGCGATCTTACTATTAAACCAACCTTCTTTCTGTCACATCTTTCACGCACATTCTGCAACCAACAAAGCATGCTGAGGAAGTGACGTGTAGCTAGCCGTTGAGCGTGTCGTTGAGTCATTCCTCCACAGATGACGCTTTTGGTGACGCTTTCAGTGCTCATAGCGGACAATAGCGGAATGAACTATTTGCTCACTAGGAGCTATCTAGTCAGCAAGTTGACATTTTAACATAGTGTCATTTTTCAATTTACGTAACATCCCAGCCGGGTAGGTCAGCAGCGCGGCGAATACGAGGTGGGCGCCATACTATCTACATATGAGCATATAGCCTAGTTCAATGATGTTATTCAAATACGTGACGTAATATTATCTGGTATAGTATATCAAGAGCTATTAAAACTAGTTATCAAACACTGTTGACAAGCAGTTTTACAACAGACACCGACACACTCGTTGCTTCAATCTGAGGAAGACATTCCCATGAAAAGCCCACCTAGTGCACCTGGTCAATCTACTGCACGCCATTTTTTCAGTATTTGTCCATAAGCAAGGCAGTTGAGAGTTTTTCTTTGTTTTTAGGTACGCCAACAACACACCATGGGCGTATCTTCTTTCGTCCTCACCTCTGAAACAGTGAGGGACAAGAGAGACGACGTAGTGACGACTAGAGAGGAAGTAGTGCGAGTGACAGACGAACATGGCAACGAAGTGGTGGTATCTGTGCCGGAAAGAGAAGTGGATCTGGCCGATTTCGAGAAGAGGATGAAAGAGGTAGGAGTGAGCAGTGAAGAGAAAGCTTGGCGCAACTATCAGCTAACTAAGCAAGCTATGAAAGGATTTGTTATTTAAGCTCGAATGGGAGGTTGCTTTGCAATGGAATTATCAATTGACCCGTTAGTGACTATTTCTTGAGCGCTTATTTTCTGGCATTTGGTTGAAACATTGAAAATCTCACAGAAATCACTATGCGCATTTTGCAATCTTGCAAAAAGTTAAAATGAGTTGAAAATGTAAATAAATTGGTTGTCACCTTTTCTATTCAATCGAAATGTCAAAAGTTACTCTGCGCCTTTTGTTATCTTTCAGAAACCTGAAAAAGTCGCTCTACCAAAAGTTAACGAAAACTGACATTGCTACAATAAACTTGATTATTGCTTTTGTATCTAATCGATATTCAATCTTCCAACTTGAAACGATGGTAGCTAATTTATGACCAAGGGTCAATTGAACTTTAAAGCACTAGCTTTTGAAGAGCTTTCCAACAGATCCATAGAAGTATGAAATAGAAATTTGCATTTTTTATTCATTGAGGCCATACTTTAAATTATAAAAATTCGCCAATATCTACAGAAGTTTTTCAGCTTGCCAAATCTGTATATAAATTTAAATCCAGTAGGTACCTGTTTAGTTTACTGACTAGAAGTACAAGACGAACTATAATCATAAATAAATGTAACTATAGGCTATCTTTGGTTAATACAGTCTCACAAATAGATTTATTTTTGAGTTTGAATACGAATATGTATGTATGTTTCGGTATGTACTTGAGAGCAATAAACGAATCCGGATTTTAGGTATTCTGTTTCATTCTATACTCTCGTCACATCCCAAAGAAAAATTAAGATCCAAATATATATCCAGAATTTCTTTTATTTAACCGAAATTTTTGAATCTTCGTTTTTAAACAGAGAGGAAGGTAAGAAAGTACCTACCACAAATCAGCAATTATTATCCGGGGTGTTTCAAGAAAAAAGATCATTTAGTCATTTTATTTTAATATATAACTGTTCCGAAAAAACTTAACAATAATTAAGCAAAATCTGAGACACTTTTTGCAGAAGGGAACCACCCACTAAATATGAAAAATCTAGATTTTAGGAAAATAACCTATTATGAGCATATAACCTTATAAATTGTTCAGTGTTATATTATATACACATATTTAAAGCCTTTAGTATGCCATTAATTTAAATCGTTTTTGGTCTAACATGAATTTCTTATCATTGTCAAAACTTAAAAGCCTAATTGCCCAATAATTGTTTTTCTGGGTTGGTTCCTTTCTGAAGAAAGCCATCCATTACAAGAACATTCGTGTCGCTAGGAATCGTTAAGAAATCGGTTCATTAAGACAACAAATTGTCATAGAGATCTAGATCGTTAGGTTTGAATCTGGTTAGTTTTCTCCATTAGCGGTTTGGGCTACAGTAACGCATATTTTTAGAATCGCCCGGAAATTCACCACTTCACAGCAGGTACTTTATCAACATACAAAAAAAAATTGCTTTTCGCAGGCTTGCTAGTGAAAAATGCTCTTAGCACCTAAATATGCATAATATTGTCTACTATTCATAATGTGAAATAAAATTGTAAGATTGAAGGTAGTGACCATTTTAGCACCTGTATTTCCAAATATGCGGAAAATCAACACGTATTCGTGCATTGACCAGCTTAATAATCATTATTATCCGTGTTCCTTGTGCTTGATACATTAAGTATCATTACCATTCATCTCTTCATTTCTTTGTTAACTAATAGAATAAATCATTGACATAACCCACTATAAGATCAAATATCCATTTAAACTATAAATTACAATTGTTATATCCAGCTGTCATAGAAAGCGCACGTGTATTCGATTGTTTATGCATTAATTAATAATTACATAACTGTTAATAAGCGTATGGCGATATTTGCAAGCCAGGAAAAATGTAGTACAAAAATATTTTAGACAGTTGGTTTATGGTGAACTGTGTCATATATAAATGTAAGTTAGGTTCTGTCTGGTTGTTTGATCGTTATATACGCGCCAGCTTGCTTGCAGAGTGGTTTGTGGAGTTTGTATCTGTTTCTTGTTTTTGGTGTACCTTGGTGCCAATATCTCAATATTATAGATATACATATAATTTTTATCACATTCCCGCGGAAATGAGCAAAATGAAGATTCCGGACTTTGGCGTGAAAACTTCATGGAGGGTGTTACTTAATGACGGGCCGTCATTACAAGAGCGTCGGCCAGATTCCCAGATTCAATTAAAAAATATGTGTCAAAATTGTCAAGGAGGCAAAGTTTAATAAGTGTTTTATTTATATCTCAAAAATTCTTGAGCCAATTTTGAAGAGTTCTGGCGGTGATGGTCGTAGCAATAAAACGCAACCCATTAGTGGTACTTGAAGATAATTATGAATTCCATTGTCATTTCAAACAACATTGACAAAAATATCTACGCCACCGACTTTACAGAAACCCACATTTTGTCTCATCTTGTTCCTTCTCAGCTGACTTTGTTTTCGAAGAGAAAAATCCAATTTCATTACATATCGAGAAACTAAAATCAATGTTCTGTTGTTATGATGTCGGAAATGATTTCTTTTCCAAAGCTCTGACTCGAAAATCAGATTTTTCTATTTGAGATTCATTTAGGAATGCGCACTAGTAATTGCGGCCTATCATACTGATTACCAGAAGCTGTTTGGACACTTCCCTTGGGAATGTTAACAACTAAAGCAATAGACTGAAAGGGTGCTTAACTGGGTGATTGTCAAGTTGACTGTCTTGAGGGAATGTGAATTTTGGGGCCTTTAGGGGATGTCAGTGCCAGGTACAGAAAAATTTAAAAAAAATGGGCCAAGTGGATGGGCTGAGTTCTTGCCAAGCAATAATATAAGAAAGAAATTACATCAGTGGTAACACCTCTGCAAATAACTTTTGCGCTGCGCTCAATAATTATTATCATAGTCCTGAAACCCTAGGCAGCAGCGGTGGCCGCAGTAGTAGACTCTTCGGTCTCCTGATGAGTCGCCGTTGGCTGTGCGGGTTCGAGTCCCGTCCCAGGAGAAATTTTTGTCCGTAGGTGGTAGACGGTCTCTGACTGTCGAACGCGGAGGTACCACCCGGCGGATCTCGTAGGCGGAGCCAGAATGTGCATGCACACGTGTTCTATCGCCAGAGTCCGAGTGGCGTCCCCCCCTCTTTCCCCTGTATCCCCCTATAGCCCCACGGCACCCAATGGGTGTTTAGGCCTTAGGCCTTCGTGGTAGCTGGAGTATAAAAAAAAACCCAACAAAAATAACTTTTGGGGTTTCGCTCCACCAATGGACTGATTATCGAAATGTGTATGCCTTTTTCCTTATTGCCCTTGATCAAAATTTCTCGAATTCGAAGTTCTTCACGCTGATAGCTATATAGGGGACATATAATTAATTGTTTGACTTCAAAAATAAGTAATCTGGGTCTTCGAACTTACCAACAACAAAACAATAAACTAATTGTTCTAATATAAAAAATTAGTTAAACAGAAATAGATGAATCCTCTCTCGCATCCCCGAGTGATTGAAAATTTCACCAAGTTTATGAGTAATTTTCGAAAGCTCCGTTTTGTGAACAACTTTCTGTTCCAACAGCATTGATAAAAGAACACCTTGTGTCTATAATTTTCTTCTCGAATTTAGCGATATTGGCACCAGCCCTAAAATTGCATAATAATACTAACACAAGAAATATAATAATGTTATATATAATAATATTGTTCCTTTACCCCTATCCCTCCCATTTTTATTGTATGTTTATTTTTTGTTAATTTTGTTGTTTTCTGTAATATACGAATGTTAAACTTTGCTTGTGTGTCTCTAACATTGCACGTTAGGATGTTCGTTTTGGCACGAATGACAAAAATATTTTAGTGTATCAGTCTTGCGTCAAAATCTTTTAAAATAGATTCAAGTATATGTGTCTCAATATAAGTTACGGTAAGTAATGAGCGGACCGCTGCTATAGTAAACAAATGCATTATATATTTACTTCAACGGATGAAATTTGCGTATGTACAGTCCAGTCAAAGTAGGCATGTGCTGGATAGAGCAAAGAAAAACGGGTAAAAATTATACAGTCATATGCAGGATATCCAGAATAACATGTCAGTCTCTAATATACATGCGAAATACAAAAGATAATGCATGAGTTTTTTATAACGAAATGTCCTCCAAATTTATGGAGACTAGGCCTCCTGAAGGTCGTTACTGGAAATAGGGTTATCTCAAATCACTTTTGAACGATAGTAGATTCAACAAAACTTTGACAACTTAGCAACCAATTGGCGCCTTACTTGATTGAAAGCGATGCAGTTTTCACGACGCTAGGAACCGACAATTTTTAACGCTACACTGCTGACACTTTCTACACCCTCAATGACCCAAAAAATAATACTTTTTAAAAGCAGGATTGTCTGTCTGAAATATATGTTCTTAATGTAACTTATGAAACTTATCCTGTGGTTTTCATGTTCATAGGACTCCATTGGCTGGCGAATGTAAGTTCTTATTTATTGTTCGACGATTCGACCAGCAGAGCGGCCCTTTTCAAGTACAATAACAATAATGACAGTATATTCTCTTTGTCTATCTTCAGGGTGACAGTTCATTTATTTTTTCTTCTCTTCATTCGTATGCAGTGTGTAGAGAAAACTCCAGGATCGCCTGGGGTAGGCATTCCCGCTCCCAAAGGAAGACAAACAAAATATATTGTGATTGTTGTCATTTTACTTAAAAAAGGCCTCCGTGGTGGTTGCAACGTCGCAAAATAAAGAAGAATTTAAACATATGTGAGATTAGATTCGGCCAGACAATGGAGTTCTGTATATTTTTATTTTCAATAAAATGACCCGTTTTTGGGAAAATAGTCTTATTTCAATACAGTTCCCATCCCACTTTCCAAAAAATCTTACTTAAATCTAAAACCCGATCAAGTGATCTGAGAATCTCTGTCTGGTGGCTGATTATGAATCTATCATCAGAATTACTGCACTTCCAAAATGGGGTAATCAGTATTCTGAAGCAACTACCAAAGTTAATAGCAATGCACTGAATCAAGTGCGTCTTTCTCAAAAACGGTCCATTCAATCAATGTCAAACGAGACTACATTTTTTTCTAGACTAAATCAGGCTTTAAAAAATCATTGAAGGATCTACGATTTCTTGGGCCTGAAGCAAAAAGTTTGTTTAGTTTAATAGAGGGTGGAGGCTATAAACTCATAGATAGGCATATATTTCCATCACGAACATGCGCACCCAGTAACAGCAAGTTCTTGACACCAATTGAACATTTTGTTTTACACAGGAAGAAATAAATAACTAATATTATATGAAGATAAATACATGAATAGCAGAAAATAGTCTAACAAGTTATATGTTAAATCTGATCAGCGTAATTGATTCGTAAACGAGTGAAACAGGAAAGAAGTTAACGTTACAGCTAAAATTGTTTCAAATGATTGAAACAGGTGATTTAGTCTAATATTCCAAGACCTGTCTGAGTCCCCTGGCCCGACGCATAGTGCGTAGTGTACGTCATCTTAGATAGGCCCCTACTACAGGGTGACTTCGAAGTTGAGTCATTTATTTTAACAGTGAGTAGATCTGATCAAAAGAAATGTTTTTTTCCTTTACCATTTTTCTGGTAAAATTAAAGTAACAAAGTTATAGCCCTTTGGAAGTTTGAGTACCGCCCTGTCTCAATAATAATATTATGTGCTCGTGTTTGGCAACAACGGATATAATCCGCCTTATCGGTTCATCGCATCGGAAACAAAAAAGCGAAAGAATTTGGAACGATGTTTTTACAATTATTTTATTCAGTTGTATACAGTCAGTGTCAGTCGGTAACGCGTGAGTGAATAGTGGTGTCTGTTGCGTGGCTCAAACGAAATCAAAAATGGCACATGTTTACGAAAATGCTGAACTTGTGGACATGATTCTTATTTACGCGGCATCACGGATTTATGCGGATCGGCTTCCCAATCGAGTGCAACCAACCCCTCGTGCCTTTGTTAATGTAGTACAAAGGGCTCGTGAATCAGGTGACTTAAGACCACACAGAGGAGGACATGCCGGTGCTCCAAGACCGCACGAACAAATACAGGTCCGCACTGAATTACTTGTCGGGAGGATACTTTATAAAACAAGGTAGCGTTTTTTTTTATTTTTTTTTTAATTTTAACACACATATTTTGGTTTATCTTCCTTCTACAATCATTATCTGAAAATTAATGACTCAACTTCAAAGTCAAAGTATAATGATTGTTAGGCCGTTACACTAGATATAGTAGATATTTATTTACTCCATCAAATAAGATCAATAGTAACATGGAATGGGTAAATAAATGTTTGTTTGGAATGTGTTCCAAAAACAAAACGAAAAATTTAAAGAAAAATAAAGGAAAACTTATGTCAAAGAGGTGTACATGCAGGATAATAATTTTTAAGGAATATTTGATAGGAGCTCAATAATATGTTGTCTTTGTCACGTGCCAAAATCACGTACCCTTTGTTTTACTATTTATCACTTATCCGTAATTTGAATTTCTTTTCATTGATAACTGAGTGCCCATTCCTAGGCCAAACCCTTTTCAATAATTTTCTTTTTGGCAAATTTAATAGTTTATTGATTGCATAATTTTACTCGTATTATATCTTTCTTTCTCGGCGATTCAGTATGGTGTTGATATACTAAGTATATGCTTATTCAGGTTAGGTACGTAAAAGAACATCACCTTTTCAACCATCTCTGACCACATCGATAAATTGGTTTCTGTGGTATCGTCGGTTCTTACTAAAAAAATTAGGGATGGTTGTGTTTTGTAGCTACAGTTGACATTTAATCATCGTACAAACGCTTTGAGGAGCTGCTTTAATCTGTTGATTATGCCTGGAGTGAGCAGACGGGAAAATTTTTAACAGCTCAGCGATTTTGATAGGAGATGAATAGTAAGCTTTTGTGAGGCGCGTTGGTCTTTTTGAGAAATATGCACCAGGGTACAAGTCTAAATACTGTACTGGTTTGTTGTCAGACATGAAAGCATGGGACCTGAGAGATGGTACACAAATAGACAAGGTACAAGTTACAAGGCACACGTAGCAATGGGATCTTGGTTCTACGGGATCGCTTCTTGTCAGTTACGGACCAATGGTTTGGAAAGCATGAAAATCCTATCATAATGCGAATTGCTTGTCACCGGATCAACAGTTGTTTCATATCGTCCTCAGTTTGTCCAGAGTGATCGACTTTCTTGGTTCAGAGGATGGCTGAACTGGGATCTCTAATGAATTACCATTGTCTTTAGTCATGAATGCAGACTCTGTTTAGGGATGCTTGATAACCGTGCAGCGGTGAGAAGGCGAGTAGGTGAAAAACGAGCTTCTCTATTTTCTACGGAAGGGCATGTGCACGACAAATTGTGGTACCCGGGGGCTATTGCTCATACAAGCAGGTCACCCTTGGTGTTGATCGGAGGCTAATTAACCACCATGCGTTACATCCAAAAGGAGAGGGACTTATATGTTGTGCCTTATATATGGACGTTCACCAACTTTTTCAACAAAATATGCGCGACCACACACAGAACTCCATAAACTCCTGCACCACTTAGGCGCGAGGTACAAGTAGCATAGAATAAGATACTTCAAGAGGAAATCGATCATCTGATTAAGAGTTCCCCCAGGTGTGTTTCTGAATGTATGAGACGTCATGGAGATCCTACAAAATAATGATTTTTTACATTCTTTCAACGGTTAAATTTTTATGAAATTTTGGTCAATTTCTTCCCTGTCTGCATGTCTGTCTGTCCGATAATCCTTGACCCCTCTTTAATTTGAAAAGTGCTGGTCGGATTTTGATGAAGTTTTCACACAACATTACTGCTACGCCAAGGACGAAGAAGCTGTATAGTTTTAAGTATCTATCTAGTGGCGGTAGAAAGTAAAATAATAAAAATCTTCAGAGTAACCTGATCATTTTCGAAAAAAAATTACGTGGTGAAAAATTGAGGGTTGGAGTTTGTAGGGGAGTGGGGGAAGTTATATCTCAATTTTTGACAGTAGTATACTGGTACGTCTCCAGTAGGTAGTGGTAATTCTACATACCTTTTAGTCATATTTCACTCATAAATTTCTCCGTAGATTTATCCTAACTTAAAATGGTGGTGGAGTATTTCTGTACATCATACGCTTCCCGGTACTGCTGATGCATAAGTGTAGCAGTCGGCCTCCGCTGCTCGACTGGATGTGAACCGATCGTTATCCATGCCATATTTTCAATCATATGCGCCTGCAGGAATTTTGCTCATGGGTAGGAGGAGGGCCAACCATCAACAAGAAATTACCTTTGTGCGAAAACGTAACTGCCTCCAAAACGTTTTGAACAGCGAATGAGAGCATATTTTCTCAGAAAGCCAAATCCTAAAGAACCTTAAAAGTATACTGCAAAACATGGTAAATATGCAGATTTTAGTTTAGTTTAACTAACATGATCCATTTATTTTTTTGTTTCGTAGCAAACTTCTTTTTCTCAAACAAGTGCCAAAATAATTTTTTTATGAACTGATGACAGCATTGCGTAGGAAATGCAGAGCCAACCTACTCGACGCCATTTTTTTTCTATGTAGCTTAGTATAATTATGAGCGTTGTCACCTTGGACGTCCTAGAAATGCACACATTTCAAAAGGCCGTCCATGTGTCACTCGTGACGGAAAATAAACACATAAATATTGTAACGCATTAGATCGAAAATGAACAGGTGGTCTTTGAAATGTAATTCATGCATGACTTCGTCGAGCTAATGCATGCAATTGAAGAAGAAAATAAATCTAACGTTAAATACCCGTCTTTCTTATGATGGAGATTATAAAATTACAAACAACGGGACTAAATATAAGCCCGATTAAACTTTTTTGGGTCATTATGGAAGGATTTCGCATGTAAGATACTTCACTTGAAGATTGATGTAAGGCCTGTGTAAAAAAAGGGTATATGGTATTTTTCTTTGTGTAATGATTTCCAACTTACAGGAACTAGGGGCGTGTCATATTAGAAAAGAATGACTTGTAAAAAACAGGATCGGCGCTTGAAAATCATGTGTAGAACAACCACAGCCACATCATATTCTTGCATCGCGAAGCTAATATATTCACTTGAAGGCTGTTACTATTACGCTTTTGGTTGTCCTCGCGGAATATATACTAAGTGACATATAAATCCGAACACCCAGTTTAAATGGTTTTATTTTAATAAAATTTTGTATAAGTACTTAATAAAGCGTAATGAGTAAATGATAAAAATTTCAAAATGATTGCACTGCTTTAAAGCCCTTTGACCTTTGATAATGTGTGGTTGCACCCTGATGTGCTACGCATTCTCCAACGCGCCTAGGCATGCTTCTGAACAGGTGGTCAATGTCCTCCTGTGGTATCTCATTCCAGGCAACCACCAACTCCTCTCGAAGTGCTTCTAGAGTCTGAGGAGGACGTTGCAAATTCAGCAATCTCCTACCCATCATATCCCACACGTGCTCAATTGTGGATAAGTCGGGAGATCTTGGTGGCCATGGTAACAATGTGACATCATTATGTTGAAAGAAGTCTATTGTGACTCTTGCAACATGTGGTCGGGCATTATCTTGTTGGAAAGTTGGATCTGCCAGGGTGTCAAGATAGGGTAAAAGATGGGGTTCTAGAACTTCGTGGATATAACGCTGCGCGTTCATGTTACCCCAAACCATCACTCCAACAGTGTGATGAACATGTCTTTCAACAAAAAACCGTGGATTCCTCCTTTCACCACGTCGCCTTCTAACCCTGGCACGACCACTGTGCATGCCTAAACAAAATCGAGACTCGTCAATAAAGACAATACTGTGCCATTCCTGATCCCAGAGTGACAGTTGTCTGCACCACTCAAGGCGATTACGTCGGTGTTCTCGAATTAAAGGGAGGACCCAGTGTGGCCGGTATGAAAACAAGCCAAAACTTCTCATTCGTCAGTAAACACTTCGCATGCCAATAGGTCTTCCGTGTTCTGCAAACCATTCATTTGCAATGGACCTGGTAGTGGAGAAACGGTCCCTTAAGGCCAATAATCTTAGGCGGCGATCTTCACGGTCTGTTGTTCTACGGCGGCGTCCAGTGCCCCTTGCTCTTTGCGTACAGCCTTCTCGAAGCCATGCCTGACAACACCTAACCACAGTGTCTACACTTCTTTGCACTCTAACTGCAATTGCCCGAAAAAAAAGTCCAGCTTCTCGAAGTCCCACTATACGGCCCCTATCAAACTCACTACGTTGACGAAATCGTACAGGTCTCCGTACTCTAGGCATCGTAACCGATCGTAAAGGATGTCAAGAACCAAAATCCGCCAACGTTGATTCTTTACTGCGGCTGAAATATTCATTTTTAGAGCGTTAGTGAATTAGAAAAAAGCAGTATAAAAACCGGAATGTCCAACTGATAAGACTGAAAATTTGTTCACTTGTTATTTACAGTAAGATAAATACATTCACCAACTTTTATTAAAATAAAACCATTTAAACTGGGGGTTCGGGTTTATATGTCACTTAGTATATATCTCCATATAACACACACCAAGCTGCTTAATGTAACTTTCATTTATGGTGGAAGTGCAAGTTAATTCCTTATTACAAATTAATGTAAAGATATGACTCTAGGCTGGAATGGGAAGTGAAACGTGAATCGGCCAGGGCCGTGAACTGTTCACTCAGTAATGATCCACGATTCAGTTCTTTCCTTGAAGATTACCAACGCTATCCAAGAAGACTGGAAACAGGAAGGTAAAATGTAGTGCTCGTGAAGCGTGTGAACACATACACGTGAAAAGGTGAAAATGACTTGCCACTTGTTTTATTCTAATCCAATCGCCTCACGGGTCTCGTTCGCCATGCCACGGTTAGCAATATTTCTGCTTGTAACTCCTCAGAGCTGTTAGAATTGGAGTTGTTTACGTTTTACGTTTCTGAAAGCAACAGAGAAATTCAGACATGTAATAGATACCACATGCACAAAACCTGAAATACAATACAATAACCCCCTCACTCCATCAGTTTGAACTCTTGTTTCCAGTCTTTTTAGAGTTATCGAAAGTCACGTAGCGATTACGATATGCCTCGCTCCCAAGTGGGTCTCGATTACAGATTGGGCTGATATTCACAAGGAAATCACATCAATATTCCTGAGGTCGCAAAGACTTCTGACAAACGGCGGCTTGTTACTGTCTTAGAAAAACTTTACTATCATGGCCTTTCAGCATGACAGATCTCCTGTTCTCCGAAGTTGTGGGATTTTCTTTGTCATTTCACATCGCTTGTTCGACAGAGATCAATTTCAGCTCAAGAATTCTTCAAGCGTAACTACTGCAATCCATAGTTTTGCAGATGGTAGTACCTTACTTGCATGCATCCAGAGGATCCAGGCTTCCTCCTTGACAATACATTAGGCGCTCAGTATTATAGCATAACTTGAAAATACATCCATCCCCACGTTTGCCGAAAATCTTCTTTGATGGGCTCTTGGCTTTGCCATGTGGGGATTTGCCTCTCGTGGGGCCCAATAATGTAAGTTGAGATAATTTGTTGTCCCCTCTCTGTCAAACTTAGACTCGTCGGCCCACAATATTTTAGTTAAATAGTCGTTTTCTTCTTGATCCCGATGAAGCATGTATCGACAAAAATCAATTCTTCTTGCGGGATCTCCTTCTTCTAATACTTGAACCGGTGTGTAATGGAAAAGGTAAAGTCTCGCCGAATGCAAAACGAACCAAACATTCCACTGAGTTAAACCAAGCTGCTTTGCTTATAACTCGTGTAGACGTCGTCGGGTCTCTGCCGTAGCATTCTAGTATTACCTCTCGATCTTCGTCGTCAAACAACCGAGGTCTACCGGCATCATGACGTCTCTCATGAACCTATCCACTTTCCTTGACGCGTTGGTACACAGAAGCAAATACTCGATGACTCGGTATTCGCCGATTCGGAAAACGGTTTTGGTATTCTCGCCTGGCTTCAACGGAATTTCCATCACTTAAACCATAACAAAACAGAATATCAGCGTATTCTTCGTTACGGTAACTCGTCATTATTAAAACTGATCAAAAAAGTAAAAGTACGTCCTACCGCGTTAAAGGTTGATATTCTACTAACTAACCTAAGCGTTAGTTCCCTTTCCTTGATCCGTCAGCTGTGTCAATTCATAACACACGCAGAGCTGGCTTGCGAGGAGCGACGACAGATTCCGAATACTTAAACCCGAATAACGACACTGGGCACAAAAAATAACAAAAGGGGTCAAACCATGAAAGGCTCGGTTTACCTGCTCAGTACAGTGAAATGCGCTTAGCGGTCCTTTCTAGCAAAGTAATATTGTTTTGTTAAATGGTTTACTTACTGATATGTTATTATACCATTTTTGAAACCTAATGAGACGAGGAAGTTTTTGCAGTTATTTGTACATTTGCTTTATTATGATTTCTTTGAAAAAAAATACTTCTTAATGTGAAAGTTGAAAATAAAAATTTTCATTCAACATTTAAATGAAAATAAATACGTTTTCAGTAGTGTTTTCATATGTTTTTTAATTTATGAGAATTATTTATTTAAATAATAACCTGAAACCACCAAAAAAAGAATGTTTAATCACCAACTTTTTTTTATCCCAACTATTTTACTTTGTAATCTGGGTTGTTTTTTAAAAAAATTAAATCTTCCATAACTTTTTAACCTTTGAATATAGGGTATGGTATTATATACTAATTTTGATAGCAAAGGAGCTGTACTATCACCTCCTAAAATGTTTTACACCTATTTACCTGTCACCCTGTATATGTTATATACATCATATTTTTGATACACCTACATTGTTAAACTTCTAACTTATGAAATGTATTTATGTTTTTTGTATTGTTTTTCAGTTTTTCTTTTTTTTTTGGGCCAAGTAGCAGAGTAGCATTATGCTAAACTTCGCCCCCTAAATAAAGACGATTTATTATTATTATTACACGACAGTAGGCAACAGTATTTTTATGCTGTACTGCTGTAAAAAATGCATCGCCTAGTTATATATCAACAGGATCTTTTGGACTTCCTTGCACCAAGGTCCAAGCTCAAACTTGGCGGGTATAAAAACCTGCATCCTGTATGTGAAGGAAAAGCCAAAATAGTGCGATACCAGTCAGTACAGATGTCTTTTCCACGGCCACTACTTTAGGGCACATTTGATGGTACATGTTGCGGTTCTAAACAGTAAAAATTCTGCCAGAGGCTGACTTGATACTATAGTCTATTTATCCAAGAAGGACAGTAAAACAAAACATTAAACGAGATGCATAACTGTTATTGAGCAGAAACGGTTGAGACCAGATACAGTAAGGTCTACTGAGACACGACACGGTGGTGCATGCAGCCTTGCCAGCCATGTAACGCGCTCGACGTCTGGAGCTCGATCACGTGAAACATGCACGGATATGTTTGGGTTTAGTTTCTTTATTGGATAAATGGACTATAGACGATATGTCGATGACTAAACTCGTAGAGGTTACTTGTGATAGGTCCCCTTATACAAGCTGTATTTCTTCTAAAGTCCTGACCTCAATCCAACAAAGCGCTTCAAAAGCGGCCTTCTTCTTTCCGAAAAAACCGGCACCGCAGCGCCAGCAGCATCTCCTTACATCTTAGTCTCGACACGGTTGGTCATCATCGCGGGAGGCGCGGCGCGATCCGCGGATCCGCCAACTAGATTTCTCAGTGTGTTTCGCGGCTCCGGGCAGACAAGCGACGATCGGTCGCGGCCTACCTTGATTAAAAATACATACGCGGCACGATCCGGCGCAAAAGACCAAAAATTCACGAGAACCCATCTGTGAGAGTATGTGTTATTAGTGTAGGATAGGCATTAGAGCTAAAGCATGGATCACAGCGGGGGCGTGGACGACGCTGCGGCAACGTCGGCGGCGATGGCCAAAACCACCACCATCAGTACTATAGCTGTGCAGAGCGGAAAAACTAGGATTGTCATCGCATTATTACATGTACGTTCATATTCAAAATGCACTACATTATATTTCTATCCAGCGTGACACAAATATGCGAACATGGTTGAAGGAATGGAAATAGTACTTTGATATGAATCGCAACCCACCGTGGCGAAACGCTAAAAGTACTGGCAAATATGTGGTACATTTATGCATATACGGCATTTTTGGACGTCTGTCAGACAGGTCATAAAAGCTTTAGAAAGCTTAGAGCATGGAGCATGTACATAAATATGTACGGCGAGGGGTTACGGGAGGAAACTAGTACATTTGGTATGAACTTCATGTATGACACTGCCCACCCTGACGAAACGGTGGAATACGAAAGATTGTTAGAGCAACTCTGTCGAACTTTCTCTTCGAGGAATACTGTAAGAGCTTTGCCCTGTCTATAAAATGGCTTTAAGTATGTTGGCTCTGCACTTCTCACGCAACGGCGACATCAGTTCATAAAGGATTATGTTCAAGTTAGATGCTCTGACAGGTTAGTTAAGAACATGTATAACGGAACAATTCAGTCAAAGAGGCCCATATAATTAGTTCATCGGCTTTCCTCTCCTTCCCCACTAGTAGTACGATCTGGCAACGTCGCCTCTCCCTGATGCTTTACCGTAAGCCGCGTAAGACTCTACGCGGCAGCGCGGCATAGCAAATGTAACGCCAGGACACTTACCAAGAAGGAAACGCGTTTCCCGATCATTCTAAGCTTTTAGTTGTTCGGAGAAACCCATGATGTGTGAACTATGTCTAATACCTGGATAGAATTATGAAGGTTGGGGACGTATAAACATACTAACATCAAAAAATTGATATATCCCCTCCCCCTCCCCTTACAAATATCAACCTTCAATTTTTGTATTTTCTCTGGATCGATTTTCCAAAAACTACCAAGCTATTTCGTCCTTGGCATAGAAATAACCTTGTGTTAGTTTCGTTCAAATTGTAGACGGACCAAGAATTAGCGGACAGACAGACATATAGAAAGACAGACCGACAGAAGTGAGATGATTATTCTGAGGTATATAGTATAACATTCAAAAAACATAATAACTCGTTTTTAAAATTTTATGCATTTAAAATACCTCCTCGCCGGTTAAGGTGGGAAGTAAAAAGTGAAAACAGTTGACTAATATAGATGAAGGATCAAAGTTATCGATCCGTCAGGATACGCCTTAGAGAAAATATGTGGATCATAAGAGAGGGAACACGTGACAGACTCATGATGATTTTTAAATGAAGGACGAACAGTCTCATACTATTGTTGCTAAACTTGTGCTTTTGTTGTACACTCATTTTAGATTTCAGCTTTCGAATTTTTCCCAATATTTTCATTTTGCACTTTGTAAACAAATGTGTTTTCAATTATGTGAGTTATGTATCATATTGCATTTTTTTAAGTATTATCCAGACAATTATCGCATTAATCATTGTAATGTCCATTTAGGCTAATTCTCGCTAATGTTTACGTCACATTTTTTGCTAACGTACGTGAAAGTGAAACCATCAGCGACAGAAACAAATCATAATCATGTCGAATCATATGTAAAAACATTTCAACAGAAAACGCTATAATCAGCTACTTTCATGAAAATTATGAGCTCATGTTACAGTAGTTTGTTCATAAGCTCACTATAACCATTATAAATCTCCTACTATATTTTAGTGGATCTTTTTTAAATGAGGACTTCCGTTCTTCAATTAGTTTTTTCGTCTGTTTCTTCCTTCCACCATCAAAAAGATTTCGTGCTAACTTCTTCCAGACTTCCCAACATATGATGTAGGTAGTCACGCCGAATTCTGCTTTGGGCCTCGTAGGCTTCTTGGGCGTATCATGAATGCATCATACGTCTTAGCAGTGCGAAGGACGCTGGTCATATCAAATTCTATAAAAACAATATGGCGTATTTCGATAAGAAAAGACCTTGGAATTTCTATTTCATACAGTACATCTTAAACAGCTTGGTAAATTAACATCTTAAATGTTGAATTCGTCTTAGCAGTGCAAATGACACTGGCTGCATTAAAATTTAATGAAAACAAGGTGGAGGATGTTGATACAAAAATCAACCCCGAAATTCCTTCTTCACGACCTATGGCTTAGACGGCTTGATGGATTTTGACATATGGGACGTTTTTAGATTTTACTTGACAAGGCGAGAAAAAATGTAACCTTGTAATTTCTAATTTACGCGCTACACCTTAAATGGATTGATGGATTTTGTCATGAGAGGTGTCTTTGGTTTTTTCCTGATCGCGCAATTAAATCTTCATTAAGTTACTGCAGCCAGGTTGTTTGTATTAACTTCATTTACGAGCCCCTTCCCACTTCAGTTGGCCCACTTCAAGATTTGTACCAAAATATGCCTTTATAAACTAAGCATGACGAAACTATTTACTTCTAAAACAATTTATTTTCTCAAAAACATTTTAGATACACTCTCGTCGTAAAAAATACATATTTGAAATCACTCAGACCTATAACTAATAGAACATCTGCACAAATAAACAATGTGCGAATAAATGCGCGAAGTTAACAAAGCAACAATTGAAACATTACCATTGGGTAACATCATCTTTGTTTTTTAGTACGGCTGAAATTCTTCTGGGGCAAAGTGTTAACCAAGTTTTGGCAAAAATTTGGTGTAAAACAATCCCATATTTCTTGAAGCTTTTGTCTCAGTTCGGTGATTGTACGAGCAGGATGTTGTCGTAGAACCTTTTTCATCTCGAGCCACAAAGTTTCAATAGGTGACAGATCTGGACTGCTTGAAACCCATTTCAAAAGTGGTACATTATTTTCTTCCATCCATTTTATAGCCTTTTTTGAGGTATGGCACGCTGCACCATCTTGCTGAAACACAAAATCTTGGCCGGATGTCAAACATTCTTCCATCACTGGTAAAAGCGATTCTCCTAAAATTGCCAAATATTTGTTTGTATCCACATTTCCATCAATAAAATGAATTTTACTCCTTTTGATGACATACTGTCCCAGACCACAATGGATGCTGGAAATTTCACTTTTTTTTTTGCGAATAACTCTATTGCGACTGTCACCAACACAAACTTCGAGTCGGGCCTCATCACTCCATTGTATTGCACACCATTGTTGAGGTGTCCATTGTCTATGTTCTTTAGCCCATCTAAGCCGATTTTTCTTTTGCAGTGGAGTTAATAGTGGCTTTTCCTTGGCCTATAAACAAGTTGTGTAACTTTAGGGTTTTTACCTCACTTTTTTTTATAAGAAAACTTGCAAGTGCTAAATCCCAGTTTGTGGGCCTCTCTATGCGTTGTGGACCTCGAAATTCTCCTTCCAACAGCGTCACCCCATAGAGCACTTAATTGTAAATAATTGGCACGCCTGTTTTCACGATTATTCTTCTTAATGCTCTTCGGTCGGCATTTGTGATATTACTTTTTTTCACATATCGTGGCTTAATATTAACTGAACCAGTTACGTTATATCTTCTAACAATATTTCTCACACTGTACCGCGATAAGTCTAACAAAGTTGCAATTTCTGAGTTTGATTTTCCAGAATTAAAAAAATTAATTATCACTAACCGAATTTTCTCACTAACAACCTTTTCCTCTACCCATTTTGAAAACCTTAACTACCCAAAACTATTTTAAACGTATTCTGACAGCTGTGGTTAATAAAAACAATTGTCATGGCTTTTATTTTTCACAGCCACCTATGCGTTATAGACTTATTTTGCATCGAAATGAGAATTGGTCGATATGCTGTAATTGCAAGATGTGTTATTTTTATGCTGCAAATTTGATTAGGGAGTGATAAAGTTGGTGTGTTCTACTATATATTTTCAAAATATTTATTGTTCATATTTTAAACCTATAACACCCTGCTACATTTTTATTATTTGTGTTTGGTAAGAAAAAAACTAAGATTTCAATAGTTGGGCCAATTAAAGTGGGAAGGGGCTCGTATATCCCAGACAAAGTATTCAGATAAGGACCTGCTGTCGATTGTCAAATATAATTAATCAACACGACCTTGTATCACTAATTCCTTTGCGGAGACCTCTGGTTGTTACCGCACTACCCAGACTCAACAGGATGTTAATTTATGAGATTTTTTCTTACTTATTGTTCCACCCGACTAGTGTCTCCTGTTACTGAGTAAAGATTCCAGTTACGTATTTCCATTTTTTTATATCTAAACCTAAATTAATATTTTACCTAAGCTATATCGTAATATATCGTAAATCAACGGCACGTACCGCTTATAATCCCAATTAGCGCTATCCCATAATAAAAATCGTACCGAGTTACAAGTTATGACAGTAGTGCCAACCATGTGCTTTGGATCTTACGAAATCCCAGCCACTTACCTTTCATGGACTAATTATATTCGTCTTTGTACTTATATGGACGCGAGTGTGGGTGGTGTGGCCGATTTCTTTGCACTTACATGTATCCAACCTACAATCAAGTTTGCTGAATCAGCGGAAAACGCGAAACGATTCTTATGGTTTTGGTGCGAACTATGGCCAGTAGCGTCCGGTATCTGTCATTTTCATTACTTGTAATGATGATAGCGTATGTAAACGGCAGCTTACTTGCCTCTAGCATTTTTCTATGAGAGTTCCTGGGTAAATTTTATGAACGGAGATATTACCATTCAAAACGTGCAATGCCTTAGGTTACATACAGTAAAGCTCATTTTTCAACCGCAAGAAGACGTTGAAATATGGTTTATGAACGAATTTTCATTTCTATAATGGATGTTTGGTTTGTGGTATTGGTTTGTGGTAGAGTTGACAATAGCATAATGCTTGGAAAGATGTAACGGTATGTCAGTGTATATTCTGTAAAAAATCAGGTACAACAAAACTACATTATTCTTATTTTCATTGTCCTTTTCTGATTTATCTAACTTTTAGGAGAAGCAAAAGCGAACTGGTTATTGACTATGAACTACATCTTATCTGATGTGTTTACCGAAAATGTGGAGATATATAAAGAAACACCGTTTA